AATGTCGAGTAATTGAATTGCCAACATATCATTAAGCCCTCTACAAAGAGTTTTTCAGTGTATAAGTGCTTCAGGCTTTTGTGTCAGTATTGATTGATTCAGATACTAAAGAAATCTTTGGCAAAAGCAGACCTAGTGAGAAAATGTGGCTTCAGCTGGGAGAAATCGTTGGGCGTTGGCCCCGTGGCAGCAAGTTGGTGTGTTTTTGTTTAGTTTTCCTTAGAGAAATAGACTTGACCTTTGGAAAGGTTTAGGTGAGTGGGTGTTAATTTTAGGAGTAGAAAGAGAAAGTAACATGACTTAATCTGCTTCTGGGGAAAAAAAACATTCTTAGAGCAACTTTGATTAGGAAATGAATATGGGATTTGGGAATAAAAAGAAGAGAGACTTACACCTCACAGAGCCACAGAATGGTGAGAGGCTGGGCAGTACAGTGGAAAGAATTTGGAGTTAGAGAACCTGCTTTCATATTTCACTTCTTTTACCCACTAGCTTTGTGACCTTGAATTTAATTTCTTCCACTATAAAATGAAGAGGTTGGATTGGATGGCCTCTAGGCATCTTCCAGCTTCTAAATATGATCCTAAAAGAGTCCTCTCTGTATTTTATAAAGTCTTTAGTTGAGGGCAGCTAGGTGGTACAGTGGATAGAGTGTTGGATCTGGAAGATCCAAGTTCAAATTTGGCCTCATGCACTTAACAGCTGTGTGACCCTGGGCAAGTCATTTAACCTTGTTTGTTTCAGTTTCCTCATCAGTAAAATGAGCTGGAGAAAGAAATGGCAAACACTCCAGTACCTTTGCTGAGAGAATCCGAAATGGGGTCACAAAGAGTCAGAAATGACTGAAACGACTGAACAGCAACAACAAAGTTGAGGCAACAGGTAGAAAATGAAAGGTCAGGGATCAGCTAACCTGTTGGGCATGTAAGTAAGACTCAACAGTGACTAGAGCAACTTGAAACAGTTGTCCTGAGCCAGACGCAAAAAGTGCTTTATCATCATTAAAAGGTCATAGGTTTTTGACTTTGTTGGTTAGAAGATGGTGAGAAGGAAGACAAAGCCTGTTCGGACCATTTAGTTTCACCTGATTCCATGACTACAGACAACCTTCTAAATTCTAATGAGTTACCTTACATATAGTCAAAAAGGAAAGGAGATGAAAAAAAGGTGGATGAATCAGTACAACGCCTTCACCTTGATGGTTCAAACACTGACGAGCATGTCTAGTTGGTGGCCAATAGTACCTTGACAGATGAATAATGGTGGATTTTTTTTTCACTTAGTTTAGTTTCTCATTTTTAAAATAATGGGAGATGGGGTGAAGAATAAATGATCTGAGCACTGAGCTAGGATCTAAGATTTAAAATTGGAGGGGATTTTAAAGATAAGCTGGTCCAGGGCAGTTAGGTGGCACAGTGGATAGAGCATTGGCCCTAGAGTCAGGAGGACTTGAGTTCAAATCCAGTGTCTATTGCTGACTAGCTGTATGACCCTGGCCAAGTCATTTAATCCTGATTGGCTCAAAAAAAAAAAAGAGATAAATTGGTCCAACTCTCCCCTTTTACATGTAAGGTATTCCTCCTTTCATATCTAAATAGTTTGCAGCAAGGAGCAGAAAAATAATTCATATGGAAGGAAAATTGGTGAAATCCACATGTAAAGAAACCATTTTTCAGAGGAAATGTTGAGACACAGGGTAGGTGAACCAGACAGAGAAGTGCGCCTCACATAAATGTACTAAGAGGGCCTTTTCAAAGGCCGAGAAATGACTGGAGCTGCAGGGCATTTTGGTGCCTCATCTTGTTTTATGTGATGGTTTTTATTAAATCAGTTAATTGTTTGAAGACTTTGGGAAGATTAAGAAATGTTGGCTGTAATAGAAAGGTGGATTTTGTGAATTTTGCCTGATAAGGTAAAGATGAGTCACTGACCTCCTGGGGGGTCTGATTTGAAACACCAGGAGGTATATAAATCTACAATTAGGAAGCCAGAAGCAAGAGTGAGGGTCACGCTATCCTTGGGCTACACACAGATGAGAAACTGACGCCAAGAGAAATGGATTAGATCAGTTGTCTCCACTCCCCTTGGGGGGAAGGTGGCATTATTCCAGTGGACGAGGTGGTCTGATCCTAAGGCACAGGTGATAGATCAATCAGAGGGTGGAAAGACAGGGCAAATTCCATCATCTCTGGCTCTCCTCACTCCCCTCTTCAGGACAAGCTCTCTACCTTGCCCCTTCTATTCCTGGTGTTAGCCCTTAGGGGCTGTTATAAACTGAACTACCCACTACTCACCATAATAGTTAGTACCACTGGGGGAAAAAAATGATCCCTTTCCCTACCCTAGCCCTTAGGTCACCCCAGGCCCTTGGTAGGAGCCACTCAGAGTTGTAACTTAGGGATTGGCCACTTAGAGCCCTGACCTCCCAGTTTTCATTTTGTTTGTCAATAAATCACATAGGATAAGCAGACAAGGAAAAATGATATTCTGGATCACAGGCAGTATATCATCTTTTCCTTCAAAAGTACCCACTTCCAAAACAAACAAACAAAAAAAAAACAAGGGACAACAAGGAATACAAGGTGGCACAGTGGATAGAGCACCAGCCCTGGATTCAGGAGGACCTGAGTTCAAATCTGGCCTCAGACACATAACACTCACTTAGCTGTGTGACCCTGGGCAAGTCACTTAACCCCATTGCCTAGCCAAAAAAAAAAAAAAAACCAAAAACAAAACCCCACTTCCAAAGTTCGCTATGACTATTGAGGGTGCTGCCATCCTTCCCTGTTTCCACATCTTCATTGTCATAATGGACTTCTCACTTTTCCCTAGTGTACATCCACATGTGCAAATTATGAGGTCATCAATTGCCAAAACTCCCCAATTTTATCTCCACATCTGCCCTGTCCTCTCTCCTCACACTGCTACATCTAGTACAGGCCCTCATCACCTGTCACTTGGACTATTGCAATAATCTTCTAATTGGTCTCCCAGCCTCAAGTGTCTCCCCAGAGCAATCCATCTTCCACCCATCAGCCAAAGTGGCTTTCCTAAAGTGCAGATCTGACCATGTCACCATCTCCTTCCTACTTAATAAACTCTAGGGGCTCAATATTGACTCTCGGATCAAATTGTTTCATCCCTATCTTGTCTTTTTAAACTTTTTTGGTTGTTTTATAATGTACATAATTATTAATACAGTATTATATATATTTATATTTATAAGTGAGTAAATTTTCACAAATTCGGGTTGCATACCCAAAATGTTTTACTAATAGGGATGTAATATTAGTATTAGGTGATCCCTAAGCCTCCCCTCTAGGGAGGCAGCTAGGTGACACAGTGGATAGAATGTTGGGTCTGGAATCATGAAGACTTGAGTTCAAATCTAGCCTCAGTTGCTTACTAGCTCTGTGACCTCTGTTGCTTATTCTCTGTATGCTACCATTTTCTCAACTGTAAGATGGGGAAAATAATGACACCAGCATTATAATATTATTGTGAGGATCAAATGAGATAATATTTATAAAGTACTTAAAAGAGTGACTGGCACATAGTAGATCAATCAATAAACATTTATTAAGCACCTACTATGTGCCTGGCTCTGTGCTAAACTTTGGGGATACAAAAAGAGGCAAATGATAGTCCCTGCCCTCAAGGAGTTTATAATCTAGTGGGGAACACAACAGACAAATGAGCTATATGAAGGATGAATAGGAAATAATTAACAGAGGAAAGGCATTAGAATTAAGAGGGTAGAGTTTGGAAAGACTTTTGGTAGAAGATGGGGTTTTAGTTCGGACTTAAAAGAAGCCAAGGAAGCCATTGGGTGGAGATGAGTAAGGAGAGCCTTCCAGGCATGGGAGACAGCCAGAGAAAATTCCCAGAGCAGAAAGATGGAGTGTCTTGTTTATGGAAAAGCCAGGAGGCCAGTGGATTGAAGAGTATATGAGGTAAAGATGTAAGAAGCCTGGAAAGGTACAATCATTCTAGATCATGAAGGATTTTAAATGCTAGACAGATCATTTTGGATTTGATCCTGTTGCTGCTAGAGATCCACTGGAATTTATTAAGTAATTGGGTGGCAAGGTTAAACCTGAACTTTAGAAAAATCACTTTAGTGGATAATGGAGAATGAATTAGAGTGGGAAGATACTTGAGGTAGGCCTACCCACTAGCAGCCTATTGCAATAATCTGGTGAAGTGATGAAGTCCTTCAACAGACTGGTAGCAGGGTTAGTAGAGAGAGAGGGTTTTGTGTGTGTGTGTGTGTGTGTGTGTGTGTGTGTGCGCACGCGTATGTGTATTTTGGAGGGATGTTAGAGAGGTAAAGTGTACTGGCCTTGGCAACAGATTGGGTAAGGGGAGGGGGAGATAGGAGTTGAAAATGACTCCTAGATTGTGAGCCTAAGGGACTAGGAGGATGGTGGTACCCTCTACAGTAATAGGGAAGGTATGAGCAAGGAGGGTTAAGAGTGAAAGATAATGAGCTCTGTTTTGGACAGGTTGAATTTAGTTTGTCTACTGGACATCCAGATTGAGATGTCTGAAAGGCAGTTGGAGATTCAAGATTGGAGATCAGTAGAGAGTTTGGGGCAGGATAAGTAGATTTGAGGACTGTTAATGTAGAGATGGTAATTAAATCCATAGGAGCTGATGAGATTGCCAATAGATGCTTGTTTCCTACCCTCCCCTTCTAGTTCTAAATCTGTTTTCTCTAATCTTGTAGTCCACCCCTCTTATTTTAAAGATAAGGAAACTGATGCCCAACCCCCACAAGATTACAAAGATAATAAGCAGCAGAGGAAGAATTTGAAGCAAAGTCTTTGAACTCCAAATCTTGTTCTGTGTTGGCCACACCATGCTGCTTCTTCATCTGAGCACTTAAGAGCTTTAGAACACTATGTCTTTCTGCAGCCAACCTCTCACATTCTGTGCTATTACGACAAGTTACCATGAGGGGTCCTAATAATTCACTGTTTGCTTTCTTTTGGTTTTAGAATATTTCCCAACTTCCTTGTGGCAAAGCCCTCTATAGCTATGAGGGGAAAGAACCTGGTGATCTCAAGTTTAACAAGGGAGACATCATCATCCTTCGTCGAAAGGTGGATGAGAACTGGTACCATGGGGAGCTGAATGGAAACCATGGCTTCTTCCCTGCCAGCTATATTCAGTGCATCAAGCCCTTACCACAAGCCCCACCCCAGGGCAAAGCACTTTATGACTTTGAGATAAAGGATAAAGATCAGGACAAGGACTGTTTAACTTTCACCAAGGTAAAGTGAAAAATCGCATGTCTTAAATCATTCTCATTTGAGGCTTTTGTGAACCTACCCAATTTGTCCTTACTCTCATCCATTTAAGGTTCCCTCTAATAATTTGATTCTCTATTAGACTAAGAACAGAGAGCAAGCTTCATTGCTCAAAGTGGACACAGAGGAAAAGGTCAATATATTTTTCTAAAGTATCAATGGGGCAACTAGGTGGTGCAGCGGATAGAGCACTGGGCCTGGAGTCAGGAAGATCTGAATTCAGTATTGACCTCAGACATTAGCTGTGTGACCCTGGGCAAAGTCACTTAACCCCTGTTTGTCTCAATTCCTCATCTGCAAAATGGGAACATAGGAAACAAAGGAAATGGCAAACCACTTCAGTATTTTTGCCAACAGTATCCCATGGACAAAGTCCGTGGGTTCATGTTGGACATAACTGAACAACAACAACAACAATGACAAAGTATCATTTAGTCTTCCGAAATAGAGGATTTGTTAAAGGCAGACTTCCTGTTCTAAAAAAGCTCATTTGGCTCTCAGGGGAGTGAGGTTTTTTGTTTGTTTTTGTTTTTGTTTTTTTTTTAATATGTTCTGACAGCCTAAAATCAGTCTTACCCTGGTTACCATTAACCCAAAGACAAGAGGCAAAATGCAAAAACATTTACTGGGAGCCATTTGAGCTGCCTGGGAAACCATTCTTGGCCTGAGGAATGACCAGCATTTAAAAGAAGAAATAGGGATAGGGATAAGTATATGAACTGGACCTATGATTTCACCAGAATAAGGAATACTCTCGGGTGGGAATTCCCTCAGCCAGTGCAGATCATTACTTTCTCTGTAACTTATTGTCTTTGAGAGTTTCTTATATTACTAAAATTTAAATGACTTGCTTACAGGATTCAGGGCTAGCTCTCTGTACATTTCACCATGTTACAAAAAAGAAACTAGATTTTTTTCCCATCAGTTCCTAGAACCATTGATTTAGGGCGAGGAAGATCTAAAAGGTCCTCTAGTCCAACCTCTCCATTTTACAGGTGAGGAAACTGAGTCCCACAGAAGTGAAGTGACTTGCCCAAGTATCTAGGAGCTTTTATTCCAAACGCTGTTCTTTTTCTAATACACCACTGATCTTTTTTGTGAGCCCCATCTTTTGAAGAACTAGAGAAAACGGTTAACTTAATACAATTGGAATTCCTAATTAATGGTAGTAAATATTTCTCTTTTACAATTTTCCACTCTCTTTTCCTTTTGGCTCTCTTCTTCCTCACCGTTCTTGAGATCTGATGCCCTATGATCCAGTTCTTGGTCTAAGATCCCATGTTCATTCACCTACTCTACTATGACCCCATATGTTGTGAACCGTCCACTTATTTTCTCTCATATAGAATCTGAAGAACTTATAATGCAGCCATGCCCTTAAACCAATCAAAGGAAATGAATGGTTCCTACTCTTTCCTGAAGTACTTCATACTTCAGGTACTAGCAAGCAATTTTAGACCTTCTTTTTCTCTTAGCTAAGCTGATCTGCTTTTCTGTTATAGACCTTGTCTCAGCTATAGGGACGGTTCCTTTGGACCATCCATGAAATTTCAGAGGATGCCATTTTATCCTGCCCTAGAACAAGAGTCCCAGTTTGGAGTAGTTTTCATCTGTAGTTCCTCTTAGATCAAAGTAAGAATATTAGATGACTTCAGATGTTGAGAGTATATGGAACTATTTTAAGGCAGAAGGAAATGGTCTTACCACTATCATCCCTCCCTTCCTCTCCTTCCATTAGTCTACCTTTAAAGTTTCCCTTAATGCTTACATTGTTCTCAACCCTGTCTCCCATTTGCTTCTTTCCTAGTTCCCAAGAGCTCAGCACTCAGATAGCTGTTTTAGCTCCCCTGGTTCTGTCATGGCTAACCCATCCTCTCCTGACTGCTATTTATATCTTGTTCTATTGTTCAGTGTGACAGTGAATAATCTATTTTCCACAGGGGATTCAACTCTGTATTTTCTTATTTCTTTCGTCAAGGTGTTCTGATGCTAATTTCAACTGTCACCTGCTTGATGAAGCTTCCTAGGAAGCCAGGATCTGGGCCCCTCTGCTGCCGCTTTGTCCAATGGCCAGAGGGGCAGACTGCCAGAGACATGATTTGTTGGGCAGACAGAGCACCAGCCTTCTTCCGTTTTTTTGCCAAATGAAGTTTGACCTTTATCTCTGGAGGAAAACCTCCTGGAGACTGAAGGCCTCTGTCCTATGATTTGTGACAAAACTCAGTGCCTTTAACATCCCTTTCACACCTCCTGTTGACTCCATGCCCAGATGTGAAACCACACAAGCCTTTTGTCCAATGCTACCTGAAGTTCCTCTAACTTTAAAGAGATCCATAGAAGTATATTCTAGGTCATCTATGCTGAACCATTTGGCTTGGCCAATGTTTCTCCCCCCCTTGAGGTTGGCGTGACCTCAACAAACCACATCCATTGATCCTAGGATATAAGGCTTGAAAATATGTTACTGGTCAAGTCCAGGGCTCCATCCCCTCATCTCATAGATGAGGAAGCTGAGACCCAAAGAAATTAAATTACTTGCTGAAGGTCACATAACAAATCAGTAATAAGTGTGAATTTAAAAACCCACTTGTTCCCGCTCCATATCCTTTCTCATTTAACAATATCACCAGGCACCTCAGTAAAGTATCTATCCTCTTTGGAGCCTCTTAAGGTAAAAGGCCTCAGCAGCATCCTACCATCCTAGGAAATGCTACCTAATCATTTAGTATCATGTGAATTTGCTTGGCTCACTATATGAAAGGAATCCCATCTAGTTCTTTTGGCCTTTTATTTTTATTTTTTTTTCATTTAGCTTATGCTTTTATTACAGTGTTTGTCACATTTGCATATTCAATTTGGTCAGTCAGGCAGTTTCTCCCAAATATTCTCACTTCACAATGTCCTTTGTCTTCTACTTTTTCCCACTGTCCAAGGCCAACCCCCAGTCATTCACCTAAATGACTGATGTTGCCTTAATGAATTCTACAAGAATACTTTATGACGGCAAGATGATCCATGTTGACAAATGGGTAAAACATGATGTTGGAAAGGACTAGTTGGATGTTGTCCTGGTTTCCAGATGAAAGGTAAAAAGTCAGTTCCAAATTGACTCTTTTATCTAGTAATCACTGACCTATGAGATGCTTGACTTTAAGACTTAACTGACAGCTAACTTTCGGATAGAAAGGCTTCCTTTCAAAGATATGATTTTTAGTTGGGACTTCAAGGAAGCCAGGGAATCCACTAGGTGAGGGAGAGCATTCTAGATATGGGGGACAGCCTGAGAAAATGGAATGATTTGTTGTTTTTTAATTTTTTTTTATTTTTAGTTTTCGACATTTACTTCCACAAGATTTTGAGTTCAAAATTTTCACCCCATCTCGCCCCTCCCCCACCCCAAGATGGCATGCATTCTGAATACCCCTTCCCCTAGTCTGATTTCCCTGCTATCTCTCCCCCCCCTTCCCCTTCTATTTTCCTGTAGGACAGGATAGATTTCTGTACCCCATTTCCTGTATTTCTTATTTCCCAGTTGCATGGGAAAAAGTTTTTTTTTTTTAAACATGTGTTTTTTAAACTTTGGGTTCCAAATTTTCTCCCTTCCTCCCTCTCCACCCACCCTCATTGAAAAGGCAAGCAACTCAACATAGGCTATACATGTGCAGTTATGCAAAACACTTCCATAGTAGACATACTGAGAAAAACTAACTCCATTTCCCTTAATCCTATCCTCCCCCCTATTTATTCTATTCTTTCTTTTGACCCTGTCCTTCCTCAGAAGCATTTGCTTCTGATTACCCCCTTTCCCATTCTGCCTTCCTCTCTATCATCCCCTTACTCTCTTGTCCCCTTCCCCTCCTATTTTCCTGTAGGGTAAGACAGATTTCCATACCCAACTGAGTGTGTATGTTATACCCTCCTTAAGTCAAATCCTATGAGAATAAGATTCACTCATTTCCTCTCACCTTCCCCTGGTTCTCCTCCACTGTAAGAGCCTTTTCTTTTCTGGTTTTTTTTTGTGAGATAATTTACCCCATTCTATCTCTCCCTTTCTCCTTCTCCTAGTATAATCCTCTCTCACCCCTTAATTTTATTCTCCAGATACGGCCCCTTCATTTTCAACTCGCCCTGTGCCCTCTATCTATCTATCTATCTATCTATCTATCTATCTATCTATCTATCTATCTATCTATCTATCTATCATCTATCTATCTATCTATCTATATATATACATACATATAATTTTCCCTCCAACTACCCTAATACTGACAAAAGTCTCATGAGTTACAAATATCATCTTTCCACACAGGAATGTAAACAGTTCAACCTTAATGAGTCTCTTATGATTTCTCTTTCCTGTTTACCTCTTCATGTTCCACTTGAGTCTTGTATTGGAAAGTCAAATTTTCTATTCAGCTCTGGTCTTTTCATCAAGAATGCTTGAAAGTCCTCTATTTCACTGAATGACCATTTTTTCCCCTGAAGAATTATACTCAGTTTTGCTGGGTGATTCTTGGTTGTAATCTTATCTCCTTTGCCCTCCAGAATATTATATTCCATGCCCTGCGGTCCCTTAATGTAGAAGCAGCTAAATCTTGTGTTACCCTGATTGTGTTTCCACAATACTTGAATTGTTTCTTTCTGGCTGCTTGTAATATTTTCTCCTTGACCTGGGGACTCTGGAATTTGGCTACAATATTCCTAGGAGTTTTCCTTTGGGGATCTCTTTCAGGAGGAGATTGGTGGATTCTTTCAATTTCTATTTTGCCCTCTGCTTCTAAAATATCAGGGCAGTTTTCTTTGATAATTCCTTGAAAGATGATGTCTAGGCTCTTTTTTTGATCATGGCTTTCAGATAGTCCAATAATTTTTAAATTCTCTCTCCTGGATCTGTTTTCCAGGTCAATTGTTTTTCCAGTGAGATATTTTACATTGTTTTCTAATTTTTCATTCTTTTGGATTTG